TGGTGTTAGATAAACTGAACCTCTGCCACTGTGTTTGTGGTGGTATCACATTGTAGATTTCACCTCCCACTGCTGAGGGAAGGTGAGAGCTATGTTTCTGATTCTGCCTTTTCTGCTGGAAGTTATGTGGGTGTGGCTACTCTGCATTAGTGCAGGCTGGTGACAGCCTTTCAGCAGGTCACTCTCATGGGGGAAGGGCCTCTGTGTCTCTGTGCTCAGCAAGTGGATTGTGCAGGTGCAGGCTTGTACTGTGCTTACGGGTGGTTTGGCAGAGCTTTGTGAATAGGGCATCTTTGTGGGGGCCAGGCCATGGCCACTTTCTTGGGAGCATACTCACTGGTAGGCCCTGCTTTAGCATAATGGGCAGTCTCCTAGGCCAGGATAGTGTTCACATTCACACCAGGTTGCCCCCACTTCCTCTTACAATCACACTGTCTGCTGTGCCCAGTGGGTGGGGCTACTTCTCAGGAGCCAAGCCACTACCTCTTGGAGGGGGTGGGGAGCATTCCCATTGGTGGGGCCTGCTTTGGCACAATGGGTGCTGCCATTGACTGGGATATCATTCACACACTGGCTGGGTGGTCTCTGCTCCTCTTAGCATCATGCCAATTGCTGTATAAGGCTCTGTGATCTGGCTCATTGCTGCCAGGGGTGGGGAGGAGTGCACACACCTATCTCCACTGCTTCCTGGGGATCTAGTCCATCCACCTTCAGATGTGTAGCTCTGTGGGTCTTTCATGCATCCTATTGAGCTGTGTGGATATCCTCTCTGGTCAATGAATGTCCATTTAGTTGTAATTCAGAGGAGGAGAGATAAAGAGAACAGTTCATTCCCTCATGTTGCTGATGTTCCTCCCCTAGAACATTCCTTCACTTATATTTTAGGTTTACAAAATGCTCATTAAAATAATTTGTCCACAGTGAAAATTAATATTCTGGAATTTTACTCTAGTCTTGTATCATTTCCAATAGGCTTTCCTATTTTTATATTCATATTCAAAACTAATGCTTGCTTCTGCTTTGCTCTCTGAGCACCAGTAACAATAGCAGATATTTTGTAAACAAGTACTCTGTGTCTTACATGAACTGATTCATGGCAGAATTTAGCTTATTTTTCTTTAAAACAATCCTATGCAATAGATACTAATGGCAATTCCATTTCACAGATGAGGAAACTAAGATATAAACTATTCTTATGAGATAGAAATTACATTTGCAGGTAGAAATAGCATGTGACTGTGATGTTATTTTTTGTCTTGAATAAGAGCTATATGAGAGCTTACTTTATCACTATTCATTACTCTGTACATTAATGTCTCCTTGGGTGTCTTATTTAATGATTAAAAGATTAAAGTAATGAATGTATTAAAATAACCAAAATTCATAACGTAGGTACTGAAAATTAATGCAAACTGTAAGTTTGCTTTGCCTCTAAAGTACAAACTGCCAAGGGATTCTCGGAGATCTACTTATGATTAGTTTATTTCTTACAATCCAATTAATGTTTGTTTTTCAAAGTTTTTTTCTTTGTGTGTTAGAAGTCTCCCTCAGTCTTTATTTAGTCAATGTTTTTACGTGTCCTTCAGATCTCAGAATTTTCTTCATGAGATCTGCTATGTTCCTTTTCTCTTTTCTTACATTCTTTTGTCCTCACTCGCCCATTCTTTCTAGCTATACTTGTTTACTTAAAAAGCTCATGTATTCTGTGGATTCTTTCCACCTTAGCAAAAAGGACTTAAGTATCTCTTCCTAGGTTCTTTAAAATTACCTTGAAAACATACATTTATATCTATGATACATTTTCAGCTACTTTTTTTGTATAAACTGAGTTATGGGTCTAGGTTCATTATCTGCAAATGGACGTCTGGTTGTTCCAGTAATTTTTTTTTTAAAGACACTATCTTTTCTCCATTAAATTATTTTCCCTTTTGTTAAAACTCAATCGAATATATTTTTATGGATCTCTTTATAGACTTGGTATTCTGTTCCATTGATTTTGTTTACACGTTCAGTCCACGAATACCACAAGGTCTTGATTACTTTAACTTTATGGTAAGCCTTACAATTGGGTAACATGTGTCCTCCAAAATTGTGTTTCTTTTTCAGAGTTATTTTGGCTATTATAGTTGCTTTTTCTTCTCATATGAGTTTGTGAATCATCTTGTTGTGATTTATTCAAAAAAGCTTGCTAGGTTTTTGACTGTGATTGCATTGAATCTAAACAACAAATTGGAGAAATTGACACCTTAACAATAGTGAGTCTTCTAATCAATGAGCAATGTATATCTATTTACTTAGAAATTCTTTTACTTCATTGTTGTGTAGTTTTCTGCCTACAGAACTGGCAAATATTTCATTCAATTTATATGCAAATATGTTCTAAGTGTTTTTTAAATTTATATTTCATTTTTCTATTTTAGTGTATATGAATGGAATTCATTTTGTATGTGGACAATGTATCCTATGAGCTTGCTAACTCACTTAGTTCCAAGAGATATTTGTATATTCTTTGGGATGTTAACATAGGCAGTTGTGTTGCCTGGATATAGGAATAGGTTTATTTGTTCTAATTTGGGTGCCTTTTAATTTTTTGTCTATTACACTAGCTAAGACTTCCAGAACAATACTGAGTAATAAATGGTTAAAAAGGATACGCTTGCCTCACTCTAGATCACAAAGGGAAATGTTAGTTAGTCTCTCACCATTATTATGTTAGTTGTTTCTTATTTATAAATTTTTTATTAGGCTAAGAAAGTGCATTCTGTTCCTTGATTGATAAGGGTGTTAAATATGAAGGGATGCAAATTTTTTTTGTGATTTTTTCTTCATCTATTGATATAATGACATATTTTTTTCTTATTTGGTTCATTAATATGGTGAATTACATTGATTGCTTTTCAAATGAAGAAGACTTGCATTACTTGGATGAAACCTGCTTGGTTGTGACGTATTTTTTTTAATTGCTTGATCTGACTGACTAATGGTTTGTTAAAGATTTTTTTTTATTGAGTTATTGATAGGTTACAATCTTGTGAAATTTCAATTGTACATTAATGTTTGTCAGTCATATTATAGGTGCACCACTTCACCCTTTGTGCCCACCCCCCACCCCACCTTTCCCCTGGTATCCACTAAACTGTTCTTGATCCATAGTTTTAAATTCCTCATATGAGTGGAGTCATACACAGATTATCTTTCTCTTGCTGACTTATTTCACTTAAGATAATTCTCTCAAGGTCCATCCATGTTATTGCAAATGGAATGATTTTGTTCTGTTTTGCAGCTGAGTAGTATTCCATTGTATATATGTGCCACATCTTCTTTATCCATTCGTCTGTTGATGGGCACTTAGGTTGCTTCCACGTCTTGGCTATTGTAAACAGTGCTGAAATAAACATTGGGGTGCACAGGACTCTTGGGATTGCTGACTTCAGGCTCTTTGGATAAATACCCAGTAGTGGGATGGCTGGATCGTATGGTAGTTATATTTTTAGCTTTTTGAGGAATCTCCATACTGTTTTCCATAGTGGCTGCACCAGTTTGCATTCCCACCAGCAGTGTATGAGGGTTCCTTTTTCTCAGCAAGCTGTCCAACATTTGTTGCTATTAGTTTTAGATATTTTTGTCATTCTAACGGGTGTAAGGTGATATCTTAGTGTAGTTTTCACTTGCATTTCCCTGATGATCAGCGATGATGAGCAACTTTTCATGTGCCTATTGGCCATCAGTATATCTTCTTTGGAGAAATGTCTGTTCATGTCTCCAGCCCATTTTTTGATTGGGTTGTTTGATGTTTTGTGGTTGAGTTGCGAGAGTTCTTTATATATTAAGGATATTAAGCCTTTGTCAGATATATGACTTGCAAATATTTTTTCCCAGTTAGTGGGTTATTTTTTTGTTTCAATCCTGTTTTCATTTGCCTTGAAGAAGCTCTTTAATCTGATGAAGTCCCATTTGTTTATTCTTTCTATTGTTTCCCTTCTCTGAGAAGGCA